GCAGGATGCTGTGCTGGGACTGGGAGGAGTGTCCCTGGTGCCAAAGGCTGGGCTGAACTGCACACTGACCCCCAGCATCCCAACTGCCTGGGCACGTGGCATGGGGCAGGGCAGGGTCTCCTGCCTCACATGGGCTCTGGGGGGCTGTGATATTGTCCTGCCTGTTCCCCAGTGCCACGACTCACCTGTGACACTCAGGTTCTGGGGAGCACTGAGGGCCGAGTTCCTCAGTTGGGTGCTGTTGTCCATGGACTGGTATCCACATGTGTATGTCCCTGTGCTCCCCCTTGTCATGGGGAAGAGCATGGAGTAGCTCCCCTGCTGCTGCTGGGCTTTCAGGCTGCTCACCTCCACCCCATCCTTGCAGAAGACGATTTGGGTGGCACGAGACTCAGTGATTATTCGGCACCGAAACAAAACCTGTTCCCCCTCCTGTGCAGCTCTGGGGTTTATGAAGAGGTCAGGAGCTGGGAGGTCACTTAGAGATGGAACAGGGAGTGCCTGAGATGGTTTTACTGCTGTCAGGGGTGGAAAATGCTTCATCCCTGGGAAGGGAAGAGTTTCCTCTCCAGGGGTTCACACACAGGGAACAAAGCCCTTCTCCCTTCCCATCTGCCCTCCCTCCTAACTCCCTTTACAGGCCCTGTCCCTGTACTCACCATGCCCTGGGGAGCTGCAGATGTCCTGGGCCATCCCACCAGCACCTGCACCGTGGGGCACAGAGGGGTTTGGTGAGAGGGGCAGCAACCCAGCTCAGCCCTGAGCCCCTGTCCACGTTCCCACTGCTGAGTCTGTGCTGTCTGAGCATCTTCCCAGCCACGGCGCTCCATCCTCCCTCTCCTTTCTCTCCTGTCTTCACATCTCACAAAACACATTTAGGTTGGGATTTTGGTTCCAAGTGGATGCCCCTCATGCCCTAAAGCACTTCAGCATCTGCTTACTTTTTGACTGTGATCTGAATCTTCTTTAAGGGGTTGGAAATTTTCCCCTTTGCTGCGAGGTCCCTGGGAGCTGGAGGAAGCAATGGTCCTGCTGCCCTCCCCAGAGCAGCTCTGCCCCTCATTGCTGCACGGCTGCTCCACACACCCTTTCCCTGGGTCCTGCCCTGAGCCCAGCACGGGCCCTGTCCTG